TGGGGGGGGGGGGTGACTGTCAGAGACTTTCTCAGTTACTTTGTTTTCCTACTGAGAACAAACGTTTGCAAAATAGAGAAAGTAACAACTTCTAAAGCAATCTCCAAACAAGTTTTATCAAGGTGGAAACCTCAAAGACAGCCTTCGGCTCTCTCCTGTTTTAGGCAGGCATTACAAAGTATTTTCTTCTCATCCGTGTGTGTGTTGAGGGGGAGAGGCACAATTCCCTGCAGAAGATGACTGATCTCACCCCTTTCAAGCTCATAAAACTACCGGGCCTGGTTCCAGTCCCCTGTTCTTCACTTGGAGCTGCAGAAAAGCAAAGGGGGTTGGGGGTAGGGGAAGCTCACAGCTGGAAACCAGCCGGAAAATCCGGCTGGACTTGGGGCCTCGCAGCTGCCGGAACAGCAGACCCCTAAGGCACTTCTTGAGGACCTGCGACTTCGCTGTGTGCAGTGGCCTGGCTCTGCACAGCCAGACTACGGACGACACACCCCAGGGGACTGACTGCAGTGGAAGACCAGAGCCACTCAAAGCCATCCTCTGGGACTAAAGGCTGGGGGCAGGAGAGCCAGAGGATGGCTCTCAATCAGAACCAAACTAGCAAGCGCAAGGTATGCACGCATCCTTCTAAAGAGGACGCATAGTTCTCCTGTCACTTCACCGGTCACTGGTGACCAAAAAGCAACAGGGACCGGGGCCCACGGGCGACACTGGGGGGCGGGGCCCGCCCTGCCCAGGGCCCGGTCTCCCTCCCGGGAATGGCGGGCCGCTCACCTTGGGGTCCCGCTCGTAGTAGTGCTGCTGCGTGCGGATCCAGCGGCCCACGAGGTGGTCGCGTACCGTGTATGCCAGAGCGAAGAAGTAGTCGCGGGGAGTGGCCACATTGCGGTCCTTGACCAGCGTGAAGTGCAGGTGCCTGTTGAAGCTCTTCCGCACCTCGGCCACGTCGCCCAGCCCCGCGAGGCCACGCACACTGATCTGCTTCTGCCTCTCGCTATCCGTCAACGCCTTCGCCATGGCGCCAGAAGAGGCAGAGGATGAGGGATGGACCTGGAGCGAGCTGAGATGACTCTACTGCCTAGGATGCTGCGGCGACTCTGGCGCCAAGGACTGCGGCGGAGGCAGGCTGATACGGACTGCGCTTGCGCATTTTGAGAGGGCAGGGCCGCGCCGAGGGGCAGAGCCTGAGCTGGGGGCGGGGCCGCGAGGAGGAAAGACCATGGATTAGGAGAACGTTTTAGCCACAAAGACAGTATAGACGCTCCAACGTGGGGGAAGTGGTTTATCCCTTTTATTGGTGTGTATAAAGCTGGAGAGACTGGCCCACAGCCTCACCATACCTGAGATCTATCCCCTTTATGGGGCAAAAGTAGAAACAGAACTAGTAGTGGCTGTGCCTGCCACACCAGAGGGCGAACCCTTGCTCTCCAGGAACTTCCTGGAGCCATTTCTGGGGCTGCAGGCTCTGGCTCTGCACAGAATCACCAGATGTCCCCTTTAGTACTGCCTGGGGTGCTAAAGTGCAGTAGAGTCCTGTGAAATCTTAGGAGCACATGCCTGACAGGCAGCCTCCAACACCTGCTGGGCCCTGTCGCTGAGCTGACAGATGGTTCTGAAAACACACCTAAGAAAATAAAAGGTTATTTATACAAAAACTGCAAATTCAGAATTCCTCATGACACACTTCACTTCAGCTCTGGGGAACAAATTGCATGGAAAACCTCAAAATACAAATTGCTACTCCAGGCTGCAGTGATAGACCAAGCTATCAAAATACTGATACTTATATATGTGTGTGCATGCACATAATACATGTGTACAGAATATATACATACATGTATATATGAACACACATATATGAATATATATCACATAAATGAATATACATATAATTCAATTATATATATATATATATATATATATATATATATATATATAT